ATTGGGAGGTTGAGGTGGGTGGATCACGAGGTCAGGAGATTGATACCAACCTGGCCAACACCGTGAAACCCCATCTCTACTAAAAATACAAAAATTAGCTGGGTGTGGTGGCAGGTGCCTATAATCCCAGCCACTCCGGAGGCTGAGGCGAGAGATTCACTTGAACCCGGGAGGTGGAGGTTGCAGTGAGCTGAGATTGTGCCACTGCATTCCAGCCTGCTGACAGAGCAAGGCACCATCTCAAAAAAGAAAAAAGAATGAAAAAGACATCTGAGAAATTCCTAAGCTCTCATCTCTGGCTGAGCTTGAAGTCCTGGGCCAGCAGGACATGAAGGTGAAGGCAGAATTGGAAACTGACCAGTTGATTACAGGTGTGCCCAACACAAAGAGCCCAACTGCAAAGACTAGGAGATTTTTTTTTCTTGCTCCAGGTGTTTAAGAAAATGAAATATCTGTCAAAACATTAGGTGGACACTAAGCTAACAATACAGATACTTTAGTGACTACACATTACAGAGTTTAGAAATGTCATTAAACATATAAACTAAAAAACACACAACTGTAACAACAAGCAGCAACAATTCTGATTTTCAGAGTTACATTATAATCTTCAAAATGTCCATTTCTCACCAAAATTATGAGACATACAAAGAAACAAAGCCTGGCTTGTTCCCAGGGAGAAAAAAAGAAATGAACAGAAACGCTGTCCTTGAGGAAGCTCAGATACTGGACTTACTATTCAGCTGTCTTAAATATACCTCAAAAAGCTAAAGGAAACCATAGAGAAAAAAGTTAAAGCAGGTGGACAATATCTCAATAACCAGAGAACATCAATCAATCAATAAAAATTATAAAAAGGAACCACATAGATATCTAGAACTGAAGATAATAATTAAAATTAAAAATTCACTAGAGTTCAACAGCAGGTTTGACGAGGCAGAAGAATAAGCAGACTTAAAGATAGTACAATTGATATTATCCAGTCTGAGGAATAGGAAAAAATAAGAAAATAAAAATGAACATAGCTTAAGAAACCTGTAGGTTTCTTAGCGTAGCAACATACATGTAATGGAATTCCTAGAAGACAAAAAAGAGGAGCAAAAAGAGTATTTGAAGAAATAATGGCCAAACCCCAAATTTAGCTGGGTGCAGTGGTTCATGCCTGTAATGCTAGCAATGAAAGGCTGAGGCAGGAGGATCACTTGAGGCGAAGAGTTTGAGACCAGCCTGGGCTGTATATTGATTGAGACGCCATCTAACACAGTTGGGATGTTTTCCTCTCCAAATCTCATGTTGAAATGTGATTCCCAATGTTGCTTGTAGGGTCTTACCGGAGGTGTTCGAGTCATGAATAATGGCTTCATTCCCTCTTCACAGTAATGAGTGAATTCTGGTTCTATTCGTTCATGCAAGAGCTAGTTGTTTAGAGTCTGGCCCTTCCTGCTCTGCTTGTTCCCTCTCTTACCATGTAACATGTCAACTCCCCTTCCTTCTGCCATGGATAAAAGCTTCCTGAGGGCCTCATGATGCTGGCACCATGTTTTTTGTTTGTTTTTTGAGACAGGGTCTTGCTGTCGCCCAGGCTGGAATGCAGTGACATGATCTCAGCTCACTGCAGCCTCTGTCTCTTCCTACCTGAGCCTCCCCAGTAGCTGGGGCTACAGGTGCTCACCACAATGCCTAATTTTTGCGTTTTCTGTAGAGATGGGGTTTCCCCATGTTGTCCAGGCTGGTCTTGAACTCCTGAGCTCAAGGTATCTGCCTGCCTCAGCTTCCCAAAGTGCTGGGATTACAGATATGAGCCACCATGCCTACTCACCATGCTGCATGTATAGTCTGCAGAACCATGAGCCAAATAAGCTTTTTTTTTTTTTTTTTTTGTGAGACGGAGTTTCGCTCTTGTTACACAGGCTGGAGTGCAATGGCGCGATCTCGGCTCACCGCAACCTCTGCCTCCTGGGTTCAGGCAATTCTCCTGCCTCAGCCTCCTGAGTAGCTGGGATTACAGGCACGT